GACAATATGTCCTAAGAGTTTGATCTCTTTAAAGCCAAATTTGCATTTTTCTAGTTTAACCTTAAGGTTATATTTTCTGAATCTTTCCAATACTAGGGAAGTATTTTTGATTAGTTCGTCGAAAGTTTTACCCATAACAGGAACATCATCGAAGTATCCGATGCATTCTCGATATTGGATTCCTTCCAGAACTTTGTTGATTAGCCTTTGGAAGACGAATGGAGCTCCACTGAGACCCATTGGTAATCTTTTCCATTGGAATTTACCTTCCGTTGTAACGAAAACTGTCTTAGCTCGTTCTTCCTCTGCCAATTCAATTTGGTGGTAACCTTGAGCCAAATCGAATAAATTAAAAAATTTTCCTCCTCGAATTAACTCTAAACAGTCATCAATTCTGGGCATTGGATGTCTTGTGACATTGGTGATTCGGTTAACCAATCGATAATCAATTACCATTCGGTATGATTTATCTGATCTTGGAACTAGAATTATTGGTGATCCTCCAGGGGCATCACTGGGTTCAATTATATCGGCTTCTAGCATTTCAGCTATTATTTTTCGAGTTGCTTCTCGTTTCTCTGGTGATTGAGTGTATGGTTTTTGATATGGAATCAAATTGTTTTCAATGTCAATTTTGACAGGGCAAATTTTTGATGATACGAATCCTAAGTCGTTTTTGTGTTTCGAGAAACAATCTTGAAATTGTTCAAGTAAATTGAGAATTTGTTGTTGTTGATCTTCGGTCAACTCTTTATCCATTCTTCCTATTGCTTTAGTGAAGAATTCTCTTGTTTTTCGGAGTTCGATTTCCTTTAACTCTTCTTGAGTTGTAAAATCACAAGCGGCCATGTAGTAATTTTGATTACCCATTTGTAATTTAAATGAACTCTGAGGTTCGATCAATTCATCAACTTGAATTGCAGCCATTGGATTTTCTTTTCTTTCGATCTTTTGATCAATAATGAAGTCACGAGTTTTCATTTGACTCGTTGTTTTTTGTATAGCGGAAGTTTCATCGGCAGTACAAAATCTGAAATGGAAAGTTGGATCGAATGATTCACTTTCTGGACTTTCCTTTACTTTGATGGAGTAATTTAGACCATCACTTTTCAATTCCATGTAATACAAATGGAGAAAAGTATTTCCAATTAAACAAACTGGTTCGAATTTTGGACAAATTTGAATTTTAAAGATTCGAGGTTGATTCATCTTTGGATGTTTTACCAATGCATAAGCGTATCCAACTGAATTAAGATAACATCCTGACACGATTCCTTTTAGAGATCGAGGTAATTCAATGATATGAGCACCTAATTCTTGGGCAACACTTTGATCCAAACTCGAAATTGTGGATCCTGTGTCTAATAACACTTTACCTTCTCGAACGAATTCTCGGTTAGAGTTATAAAGCTTGAATGTAGCTTGAGGCATATACTGAAGAAAAGTTGTTCCAAGTTGAGTCAACAATAATGTATCATCAACATAGTTGAATGAAAATGTATTGTCTCTTATCCCAAGACTGGATGGTTCATTATCTGATGAGGTAATTAAGTTGAATGATGCATTGGAAGTTGGTTGATTAACTGGTTGATTGTTAGTTGGTTCTTTTGGTTTTGAACCTTGATTTCCATTGTCTCGTCGTCGACATTCAGAATTGGTATGGTTATTCATTTTACATATAGAACACCATTTTTTACCTTTTGGTTTGTATTGATTATCAGACTTTTGTCTGGTTGGGTTGATTATTTGATTAACATTCAATGATCTTTGTTCTGTTTTATCAACTTTAGGGTCATAGCCTTTTTGATTACCTTTTGGAGCTCTAGCTCTGGTAGATTGTTGTTGTTCCAAATAATCATGATGTTTTCTCACCAAAACATTGAAGATTTTATCTTGATCATCATTCATTCCCAAAGTATAAATTTCTTGTCGAATGTATTTTGGAAGATGAGTCAGAATTTGTTGAAGAAAAACTGGACCATTAGTTTGTCCTGAGCCAAGTGATTTACTAACCAAACTAGTTAATTCTTCAATGAAATCGGATGGATGTTGTTCCAATTTATATCGATAGTTCATAAGAGCATAATCGGCTGAATATTTCATCGAAGGGCAGTTTAGCTTCTTAAGAAGTTCATCAACAAAATCTTCATAATTATTGATTGTTTGATCAACAGTATTAGCTGTATGTAACAATTCATACGCCATTGCTTTCTTAAAGCATCGCAACTTAGTTGCTTCATCCACATTTTCGTGGGATAATCGGGCTTTTGTTTTATTTACCCATGAAATCATGTCGTCACCTTTTCTGAATTCGGGTACAACTGGATCTCTTTTTAATGAATTAGCGAACTGTAGTAAGCTATTGGCTATTAACTCGTTTGATGAGTTGGACGATATCTGGTTGGTCATCTCAATGTTTGTAGTTAAAGCTACTGGTTCTGGTTGAGGAATAACATTTAAATGTTCAAGTACCTTTATGAATTTTTTCTTGGTACCAATTGCTAATTGCAATGAATTAATCTCAGCCATGGTCACATTGAGGATAGTTTCGGTTTCTCTACCGAGTTTAGTGAGGATGAGATTTATCTCTTTTTCACTTAATCCAGAATCTCGACACTTCTTTAGCCATACTGGAATTTCCTGTGATTCCAAATCTAGAACTGATAATTCCTCAATGGTATTATCGTCCAATTCATCTCCTTGGAGAAGCAGATTGTTTTTTATGACTTCTAAGAGTCGTCTCTTATAGAGTGATGTTAATGGTGGGTTAACTGACCAAAGTTCGAATAGTACTTTTATTTGCTCTGTACTTAAATCCGCAACTGGATCTTGTACTAGTCTCTTATTTTTCTTTGGTGGCATTGTCACGATTACTAATTGAGTAACTTAACACTGACACACTGACACAATGAACACACTGAACACGATCCTGCCTGGGTCGCCAATTGAAAGGTTTTCGCTTGGTTTCTTATCTTTAGATAAGGTTGAAAGTTGAAGCTTTATCACTTAGATCGATTTGTTTCACTATTTTGTGAATGATTAGGTTTCAAGACCTTTGAGTATTTCACTCTGATTGTAAACTTTTACAATTCTAATTGTTTCGAATCTTAATTGATTGCTACCTGCCTTTCAATAATCAGGTAATTAAGGTTCGCATACAGGACCATGTACACTGTGATCAAAGTAACTTGAGTTAACAAAGAAAAAGAGTAGAGAAATTCAACTAACTGAACTTTATTAAAATTTACTCATGATAACTTGATGTTATTCTGTTGAGAGTAGACAGTTAACTTACTGTTACTCGTTACAAGTAATTAAAATAAAACTTAAGTTTTTGATTTTTCTAGAACAATTGGGGGAAAAAGAGATTAAAATGATCGCATTGGTCAAATAATGATGATGATAAGTCTCAAGGCTTAACAAAGCGCTTTTAGCTTAATAATGCGATTAAAGATAAGGTGAGATAATTGGGTTAATCAAATGATAAATTGGGTTTAAACAATGATAAGAAAGAAAGACAAATTTTGGTCTCTTTCTAAAGTGATCAAAATTTAACAAAATTAAATTGGGGATTAACATAATGAAAATTTGAGTAATTTGAGTTACAAAGAAAAGTAATTAAGAGTAATTGAAATCTAAGTTTCATGATTACTGAGTTTTGATTATATGGTTGAGATTAAAATGAATAAAGTAGAAAGTAAAAGATAAGCGATAAATGATAAATGATAAACCTAAAGGTTTTAAATGTTAAGAAAATTCTTGATTCTGAGTCGAATAAGAATTAGTTTTGGTGGGTCTAAACTCACTACCTCACAATGTGATATATGATATTAAATTTGATATTAAAAAAAATGGTAAACAAAAAATTATCATCATCCTAATGATAATCTAACTCTTCTCGGCGGAAGTTATTCATTTCCCATGAAAATTGATTCTCATTCAGTTATCGAAAGATATCTTACCGTTAACGTTGAGTATATCGTATAAGGTTACCTGATAGTCTTTACCCTGAAAATGATTACCATGGTAATTATTATGGTTTAACTGAGTTTACTTCCTTTTTCCATAAGATGAGAAGTAAATTTACCAGATTAAAGAGAAAGAGGATGAAAAGAAGATGATGATGACATTCTGAAAGAAAAAGTAGTTCTCCTAAGGTAATATATATACTCATTGAATGAGAAAAAGTTCATCATTATCATGGAAACGATGATATATGAATAAGACTGAAAAAATTAAGCTCATGATGATAAGGTTAAGAGAGAGAGAGAGAGAGTGAGAGAGATTCTTAAAGGATGATGTTGATTCAGAAAAGGGATGAAAAGTCAATTTCATCCCATGTCATCCTAAAGAGGATCAGGTTAAATAAGAAACCTGAAGATGATGATAAAGATGAAAGGAAAAAGTGAAAATAGAACAAAAAAGATGCTCTATGAATGCAAATTCGCATCTTTTTCTCCTCTTCATATTCGCAATTATTATGCAAGTAAAGGGACAAAAGATAATGATGACGAAGATCAATTCGTTCTCAGCATCTTTCATTCATCTCTCTCTCTCTCTCTTTCTCTTTCATGATCTTTTACATTCTTCTATCTCTCCATCACCAAAGAGTAAAGATTCAAATACAAACAATAAAGTTAAAGATCATCAAAAGTTCATGATGATACTGAATTTCAAATGAAACATTGAAACAAATGGAACATCAAAATGATTTCATCAGAAAAAAAGGAATCACTGTTTTCCATAAGTAAATATCGTTATTTCATCTTCATCATCTTCTTTGAAATTATTTACTTTTCTTCAATTCTTTTATATTATCGAAAGAAAAATCTTATATTTATCATCAGCATTTGTCATCCATAAATCTCAGGATCAAGAGAATCTTTTCCAAATATGTTCAATATTAGACCTGAGGGCATGAAAGGTTCTTAATAAAATTCAACGAAATTTAAATTAACTCACATTCAATTTCATCTCCAAAGTATTATTATAAACTGAAATTGAGTTTACTGAGAATCCAGATCAATGTTTATTCAAGTCATCAACATGATCCTAAATTCTGATTGATGATAGATTTATTATAAACAATCAATCAGGCGAAAATACTTTAAGCAAAATCTATACCAAGTATAATATATATACGATGTAACAATAACAATAATAATTAGTTTGTTGATAACTAATCGAAAGTTAAACCAGACTTGATTGTAATCATTAGTGTTAAATAAAGTTCATTAATAACTTGAAAGTTCAGTGATTGAACCAATTTACAGGAACAGTAGTGATTTCACCTAAAATATATATATATATTGATTAATCTATATTAATGGTGTTGCAATTTCTTAATCATCTTTGAGTCTCTTTCTCTCCTCTCCTAATGTACTGGGATTGAAGTTATTGGTGATTTAAAGATAATCATTATAGTTGTTTATTTATCTTTCTTTTCTTTCTGTCTTTATTAAAGTCCTTTAAGGTTTATGGTCCAATATTTTAGTTGAAAATGTTCAATAAATGACAATCCACTTAATTTAGATAAGATTTGTCTTCTTTAACTCCAGAGCCCATGTATATAATATATCCAGAAATGATTGTTTACTCATCTTGGAAACTTGACTTTTCCAAGATAAAAACTTTGAATTGATTGTTGTTCATGTTTCATGATGATTTTTATCTTTTAAGGAAAATCTCCACATTAATTTCTAATGCTGAACATGGTTGGGTTAATTCAAAATTGGTAATAACTTTAGGATGAAGTACACCCATGATTCCAATTGATTTGCTATTGTAGATGATTGAAGCACATCGACCAGGTAAGAATCTTTCATCTATATTTATATATATGAAGTGAGAAGTGAAAAGTGAAGAAACAGAGAAAAATAAAAAGGAATTAGAACTCAAGATGATGATGAGAATGATGATAAGCAAAGATAGAAAGTGTGTATTAATGTTGTTGTTGATTGAAGATGTTGTTTCAATGATATACACCAGTTTCAAATCAGTTTCTCATTTTCTTGTACCTTGAGAACTCACCATTTGTTGATTCAATATAATATCCATCAGTTGAACCTTGAGAAGTATATTGAATCTCCATTACTTGCATGATTCGGTCAAGTAAACCATGAATAACCTCGAAACCAGGAAATTTGTTGTAATGAAGAGCAGATAACATTCGCTGATTTCGTGAGCCAACATCTTAATTCATAAGATTAATACATTCCAATACATAGACAGAAAATGAGAAACAGAGAGAAAGAGTGAAGAAGAGAAAAAAAAAGAATAATCAAAATAAGATTTATAAAGGAAAAGATGAGAAGAGTGAAAATTGTGGATCTCTTTTACCTTTACTCGAATCTTTCAAGACAACATCGGAAATTTCGAATAGCTTTAGTGGCAGAGGCATTTTCTTATTAGATTCAACTGTTCTCAGTAATCCAGGAATTAAAGAAGTCCTGGCAACCTAATAGAAGCGAAAAAGAGAGAGAGAGAGAAAGAAAAGAAAAATAAACAATACAATTAGTTACCAGGATATTTTGAATATATAGAGGAAAAGATAATATTAAAAGGTGATCAATCTCTCTAACCTGAAATTCAATTGTTTTAGGATTTGCAATGTGAACTGCCTTGGAAATTTCATCGGGTATCCTCATTTTATCAGCAATATCATCCTTGGAACACTAATAGAAATTGATAAATATAAAAAATAGATGAATAAATAAAGTTAATGAAATGAGAAAACAAATTGAGAATAAAATAAGTGTATGGTTAATTAAGATTGACAGTATTGTTTACCAAGGAGAATGTTAATGCTTCAGTATATCCACATCTTGAAAGTTCATGTCTAATTTGATCAGATAATTTATTAAGTGAAAATTGAGCACCAATGGTTACGACTTTGGGAAACTTTTTTATAATATTATTGTATCCATATGAGATGGCAACATCTTCAAAAATATCACAAGCATGAAGGATATCATGTCGAGTAGGTGGAATCTCAATATCAATCATTGAATTATCTTTATTGGGTGTTGCTTTTAATCCCATTCGCTGTAATAATCTGCAAATCTCTTCTTTAGGTAATCTGAAAGTAAACAAACAAACAAACAAACAAAGAACCGTTATAATGTTATGAATATGAAAAACTGATCAATATATTACTCACTTAACTCCTAACATTTGACTTGCTCGATCAACTGCCACGGTTTCCATACGAGAGTTGAGTTTCTAATTGGAAATTTAAATAATCAGTTGATTGTCTCTTTTTTTTCATAATAAGAGGAGTAAAATTACTAACCGGGAAAATCTTTGTCTCTTTGGATTCTTCATAGACTGTTTGAATCTTTTCCGCTCTTAAATGATGGGAGAAAATTTCATTAATAATATGATATTTCTTTCTCGACAATTTAGAAATCAAATATATATCATTTTTGATGACCACTTACTGGAATTGTGGATCACAATACGAACTGAACATACAAATGATAGTGTCCAGTACGATGGAAGCTTTATTTTCATCAGTTGCTGTGCATTCAATGAATATATTTTTGGTCGATAGTTTAATTTTACTATGATTGCCTGGGGGTGAGAAGAAGATGGAGAGAGAGAAAAAAAAGTTTCATTAGTAAATTTTAAAATAATCTGGGAGAGGAAAATCTTATGTAAATGATATTCACCATTGATTATCGGAGGTAGGGAGAGTAAAACACCATTGGCATCATAGATCACTGGGTAAACGGGACTATCTCTTATTATTGGTAGATAAGGTTTCAAATGACTATTACCCTGTAGGAGATTGAAAAAAGAAATTTGAACTTTAATTGGGTTGACATTCAATTGGCTACCAATTTGAATTTACCGAATAATATTCCATGAGTTCAACAGCATTAAATTCCTTGGTTTCATTGAGAGGAACAAATTTAATCTCTTGAGGTGGTTTAGCATCGTAAAGAAATGGACCTTTGATTGTGTCCAAATCATGAGTACCAATAGCAACTAGAGATCGTTTTCTAAATTATCAAACAACAAAATGGAAACAATTTAAAGATTTTCCAAAGTAATTAAAGGTAAACCTTTATTGATTGAAAGGAAACTATTCTTACCTGCAAATGTTTTGGTGTAATTTATCTTGAAGATCAATGAAACTATCGTAGAGAACTTGATCAAATGTAATATTCCGTAAGATTGCACAGACTACAAAAGGACGAATTGATTTAGTCTAATAATAAGAGAAAAAGATTAGAAATACAATCAGGATACTAAAAAGTATTTAAGGTAACAATTGATTGGTTAACATTCAGTTAGTAAAAAGAATCACAAATTGCAAATGTGAGAAAACGTTCCCGTTGATTTGGTTTATCGTTACATACATTTGGAGTGACCACAATCTTATTGACCCCATAATCGGCCGGATCAATAGCCAAAAATTGAGGTATGTCAACTTTTCCTTGAAAAATGAGAAGAGCTCTAACTAATCCAGTTTCACACAATAAATCATACCGATTAGCCGGTATATCAATCTTGTAGATTACATCGGTAGAAGCACCAATAGCTTTATCATCACCTTTTTCTTTAGCGATAATCTCTCTTTCTGATGTCTATAGAATCATAAAAGAACAACAAAAATTAGCATAAAATAATAATGATTAACTAAAAAATTTACTATACTTACAATTTCATCTAATTCAAGACCAAATTCAAAACACAAATCATTAAATTGATCTTCAGCTGAATAGAAAAAAAGAAAATTAAATTTAGCAAAACATTAGAAACTAAAAGCGAAACAGAAAAACCATTACTCACTATAAACTTGACCCAAGGTTTTATGTAAATGCTCACGATTAACACTAATGGTAGGCATGTTAAATTAAATTAATTTCAAAAGACAATCAAATCAATTGATTTGCAAACAATTTTGATCAAAAAAAAACAAACATGTAACCAATTGAATCATATGTTATGTTTACAACTCGCAATGCGAATTAGGTGCTGCCATCTGTTGGTGGAAAAAGTAACTAAAAGGTTGAGGAAAATTTTCAAAAAATTGACAGAAATGGAAATTAATTGATAAAATGATATACACCAATAACAATTAACTGGTTAATTAATGTAAATTGTTTTTTATTTCTTCAACAGAACTTAACTGTTGTGATTGGGATTGGGATTGACTGTTGAATTATGGAAAAGCTTGAAAATAAATCTCAACAATTACAAAATAAGTTAAAAGTTACTGTTGGTAAATCGGTTGATCGTAAACGTAAATTAAAGGACTTGGAATCGGCAATTAGTTTATTACAAGAGGAAAGTAAACAATTTGAAAGAGAAAGTGTTAAATTTAACCAATTATTTCAACGTCGATTGAATAATATGATCATTATTCTCTTAATTATAATCATAATTGTTTTATTTATCTACTATTCTTAAGCCGAAAAGAAAAGAGTAATAAACCTAATTAAAAAGGAGTAAATAAAAATTGAATTGATTATCTAATGAAAATCAGCATTTAATTGTGAGAAAATAAAAAGAAATAGATTATTATTATTATTATTATTATCTGATAGAAAATAGAAAACCAAAATATCCCCATTCTCTCTGTACATACGAACTTTTCAATTAGAACATTTCAATCTCGAATCGATATTAAATGTAAATTTACATATTCTTATTTACCTTTAGCACTTTGTATTAAATTCTTGAAATTAAAATCATTAGAAGAAAAAAGAACAACGAAATAAAAAAAAAGAACATTAAAAATCAATTCGAACTTTGGATAATAAAAGTTCTAATAAATCCAAATGTCACATATTCGAGAGTGGAAAGAATTAAAAAAAAAACTTTTCTTTCGAAATCTCTTCTTACTCTATTATTACATTTTCTTTTGAATGAAAAAAATTGAAATTCTAACGATTATATAATCAACTGTGAATATACACAATTCAATATAATAATCAACTCGATAATTACTCAACTATTACAATTAAATTAAATATGATCAACTTTTTTATTCGTAAAAATTAAAATGATAATAACTTATTATCACGATAACAATGCGAACCATAATCATTAATTATTAATAATTAATAATATCATTATCATAATCACCTTACGATATTTAATATCCATTGGATCTTGTTGTTGATTAAATCATGATGGAAAATCATTTTAATTGTATCGTTGATTGTTACAAGTTTTTTTTATTCATTAATCATAAACATTAAGATACAAAATATGAATTTAAATATATATATATATATCAGATTTCAATAGATATGATAAAAGGTTAAAGGCACAAAGAGGTAAAAGGGTTGATGATGAAGGTGATGATGATTAGTTGATTGTTGATTGTTGATTGTTGATTGTTGATAAATTTCCAGAATAATTTGTTATGATTGGAAAACATAATAGTTAATTGGTAAGACAAATGAAACAGTTTAAAAAAATGAAAATCATATTTTCGTCACAATTTTAGTATCAATTTTGATCGTCTCTTTCATTCGGACACACAATCAACATTATTATCATGTAAGATGATTAGTTAATTGTGATAAGTTTCATTTCGCTCACAGTTATCGTAGGAAATAAGAGACAAATTAATCAAACTGGAGTTGAATAGGAACTTGGAATCTATTGGAACATAATGAAAACCATGAAAAAAAAACAAAAAGAAAAAAAAATCAAATAAGAAAAGTAAACAATCATCAACTTGGAGAAAATTTCAAAACAAAAAAAAGACGAAATGTTCTTGATGATAACTTGATATTCATCTAGAAATCGAGATGAACTTTTCTCGAGCTTCATGTTAGTAAGTTGGACGATTTTCGTGAAATTGAAGGTAAATTAAAAATCCAAAGGTAACAACATATCGATTAAAATAATGTAACAGGTAAAGTGAGAAAAAAAACATTCGAAACGTGAAAGTTACTCAAGGTGAAGAACTCAACGAACATGGTGATATCTATTATTCAGGTAATTCTTTGTATCTTTTTTTTCTCATTCTATCATTTTGTTTCATTTCTATCTCAATGATTGGACATTCACTCGCTCATGATGATATTATCATGGTTGGTTATCTTCATCAGAATGATTATTGTTGAAGTTTTATGAGTTTTTTTTCATTGTCATCTTTTTGTTCAAGTTTCATTTAACTTTTTTTTCTGATGATATTTTCACTCTTCTTTTCATTACAGTTAACATTTTTCTCATCTCTCTCTCTTTCTCTCTTTTCATGATGGTAGAACTGTTTGTAACACTGAATCGCTTACATCTTGTACCATTGATGATAACTTATTCGCCGATGCTGAGTATGAAACTTGTGATAGAACATGTTCTCGATTTCGAGCATTTTTATCGGTTATCAGGTAAGTTTTCGATGTAATCAGTCCAGGTTGTTCATCTAGATTAAAAGGAATTGTATTTCGTGAGGTGATATTATCAAAAACGGCAACATTATCATCGATATCTCTAGTTACCACATTGCCTTCAGAATCTACAGCAACAACTATTGGTGAACTATCCGGGAACTTAGAATGAGAACCAATTGAGTCTATTTAAAGGTAAAGAATACAGAATTTATTAGAAAATTCAGTTTAAAACATGAGAATTATTTAATAGTTTCAAAAGTTTAGAAACAAGAAAAAGCTTCATGATGAATTTTCAGAGAATTTTTTTCTCTCTTCTTATTCAAATATTGACTTTGTGTAAAATATTCAGAATATCATTTACATGAAACCATTGAATTTAATTCAATTATCTTGTATCCTTATTCATTTCTATCGACACAATTTCGGCGAGAAAAGTTTTCAAATAGTTGTAACAACTTCTTCAGAAACACATTCTCAGAAAACGATAACTTAGTAATAAGACTGTTCTAATAACCTTCATTAATTTCGTATCGGATTAACTGATGTCGATCATTGGCCTTTTTTTCATTGTAATTAAGATTTGAAACTGTGGTAAGGGAGATTAGGGATTATATGGAGCAGGAAGTAGTTTGGAAAACTTTAGTTACCATCTTTTTTAAGCTTTTCTTCCGGAAAATGCGTCAGGTCAGGACTTTTACTTTCGTTGAAACGATTGTTCGTGGGGTCGTCTTCAGATCTACAGAAAATTGATCATTTTGTATAAAAAAAGATTAGAAAAAAACAAAAATGAGAATTCAATCAATAATAGCATGTTGATAATTGAATTGGCGATGAAAAAAGTAAGGAATTGAGATAAACATCAATAATAATTCTGAAAATTTGAACAGAACTTTGATCAACATTTACTTAGTAAAAAGAAGTAAAAAAACATTATCATTATTATTGGAACAGGTCAAGAGGATAAGAATGATGATTGGATGAAAATTTAGAAGTAAAAAAAGGTAAAAGTAGAGAGAAAAAAAAGAAAACATGTGATTCTGAACAGTTCAAACTCGAATCCAAAGTAAAATAAAAGAAACATGGAAAAGCAAAGAAGAAGAAGAAAAAAACTCTAAGTGATAAATGGATGAATAGATGAAGAACTTTTCTTTTTAACCATCAATTACCAATGGATTATCTTAAAAGACTCAAATTATCATGATATTCTGATAATTCTATTGATATAATAACCATAGTAACTATAATTTAACTTTTTTTCCCTGTAATTCATGAGACATTTGATATATTCAGTAAAGTACTTGATATGAAATGAAACTTTAAATATGGTAATGAGACTCGTTATCGTTACAACGAAACAATAGTAACTCTGAATCACGATTTTATTTATATTTGAAGTTTTCTGCTGGATAATAACAATGTTATCATGTTGGAATGAAAGTTATATAAGAGGAGATGAAAAAAAATCACAGTGAGAGAGTAACAAATACCAGTATTTATCTTTTTTATCCATTTCCTTCATTAATCTTTCACAAATAATGAGAAGTATCTTACTGAGTGTGTAGATGAACTTTTCTTTCCTGAAAGGTTTAAAAGTTTCTACCGATTTCCATGTAATCATTAACTTTTCCTTCTCTGTGCATAATATTGATTCAATGATGGAAAATATAATAACAACAATTTAAATGTTATCATCAACATGAACTTTACCCTGATGGTCAACCATTATTAAGAGTTATTTTCAATGTAATATTAAGCATTGGAACGTAGAAATATGAAAATTGAACCTAAGTTTGAGAATTTAGATCTCAATGATTTAAATGACATTCAGCTTGAACATTGAGGTTGAAATCGTATAATTTTACCTTTAGATGATAAGGATTTTGAAAAGTTGAATAATAACTTTTGTTAATTTTATGGTAACGTAACAATTTAACTGATTATCAAGTGTCAAGTAAAAGGTAAACCATAATGAGCTTCAGTTACATTATTTAAATGATTCAATGGATTCAACATGATAAAAAATGACCAAATTTTCAGATAAAATAGTTCTGAATAGAGAAAAAAATTGTAATGAGATTTCTGACCCAAGCTCACTCAACCTCTCTCATTCATGTGGTTAGATATTCAAAATTTGGTCAAGATATTCATGATTATGTTGATTACTCTTCGAGAATTCAATCAACACATAACATCAAGGGAATATTTAACTTTCAATTCTCTCACTTACAATTCATTGACAATCAGCAGAAAATTGTCAATTTCGCCAGTTCAAAGATTCTGCTAGCGATATTATCGATAGCATTTGATTGGAATACTCAAAGTATTAATAATCAAAAATCAGAATCACAGGCTAATCATTTCATCTGGAAAAACGTATTAACCCATTAGACTATGGTGTAGATCACCCTGATGTTCATTATCTTTGACTTTTTTCCTTCGTTTTCATGAAAAATTGTGGACTAAAAAGTAAGCTATTGATAGATGAGAATAGATAAATGATTAAATTTAATTGTTACGATATTTTTTGGATGTTTGATCCAATTTTATCAAGCAGAGATACAAGAAAATGCTGAGTAAACAAGAATTAACTATTAGCTTCTGATAGAAGATAAAAAAAAAGTAAATCATGAAGAAGCTAAAGGTCAGAATTCAGTTGAACAAGTAGATTAAATTGGAATTACAATCAAAGTATTAAACCGTTGACTGGATAAAATCATCTCAACAAAATTCAAATACTAACATTAAAGTCTAAGCTCAATGTTAAACCGAACGTGAAGATACAGGGAGACCCTTAGAATTACATTTTTCTCATCCAATTGTTACTCTTTTTTTTCTTCTCCCTGTTCATCTTATCGTTATAAACTTAATGCTTTTCCTATTTCTTCATGTACATGTTTTATATACTTCAGAACTTTTTTTCAACCACATAACCTTAACCACAGATGAGAAAATGAAATAACCACATTATCATTCATTTGGAATTCATGGTTATTCACAAAACTGTCGGTGAACTCGTCACATCAACTGTAATGTTGGGAACTCTTGGCGACACTAATAAGGATTTTTTTCCGTACTTTGGAATCACAATGTTAAAGAAAAAAAACTCTCCATCATCATGAGAAGATATAAAAGGTGATATGTTCAGATTTTCATGATGATGGTGTAGGAATGATGATTCATTGTGATTCCTTTTTTTCCTCCTCAGAATAATATCTTATCCTTGTTTCTTCCTGTCATTATTTTTTTCTCCTTCTTCTCTTCACTAGATGATAATAATATTATCAATGGAAAAGGATGATAATGATAACAGAGTGACCATTATGTTCAGGTCAATGAGTTAACATTGAAAGATAATAATCACATTGAAGTAATAATAATAAGATAACAAGCATATTATCAAGACTTTAATTTAACAAGGTTAATAATCAACGATTACAATTTCAATCAATTGATAATCAATTGAACAATTTAAGATGATCTCAATCAGATTGACAGTCTCATTGATTATAATGATTGAACTCAATTCATTTGATATTTGCATTGAGATAAAAGATTAAGACCTATCATTGATTAAATGAGTCGATTGAAAATTCAAATTACCACAATTAACTTTATCATTACAGTTTAACTTGATTGATTATCTATGACTATTGTTAAGAGGCTTATAATTGTAATATTTATCTCAACCGTTGAATATGGATCAGTATTAAAGTTGAACAGTTTAGTGATCATTTCTAACAGGTATCGATAGTATTAGATGTTCAATTATTGATTAGTTAATTGCTTGGAAAAAAAATCAACTACAGGGTAATCTTTATTTTCCAATTTCCAATTTTCATTTTTCATGATTGAAATTATATCAATATCATAGATATTATATTATACGGAACTGATTCAATTATCATATTATTCATTTCTTTCAATCAATATTTGTCTTTTCAATAGGTTATTGGTAATGGACAATAAGAAATGATGAGGAAAAAAATAACATTGACCATTGAGAATTGAATTCAATCATGATGAGTTTCTCAGAGTTCTGGTTGAAAGTTATGAATGCTCAAAGGTTTTATTATTGCATATTTTGTCTTCCCATTATCATCTTATTTGCCATCAGCATTACAATCATCGTAATCATTATCATGTCTGTCGACAGAATTTATTTTTCTTCTCTTTTCATGGAAAAGTGAATGAGCAAATATTTCATAACAACTTTTCACTCTTTCTCTTTTCTCTTTTCTCTATTTCCTTTGCACTCTAATCTCTCAGTTTGATGAGTGATAAATGATAATATTTTCTTGTTTAGTATAAGGTAACCTTAGAATTTAACATTCAATTCATCTTCATACCCTTCATTTTCACACTGAAGGGATTTTGCCAAGGAAAAAAGTAAAGTTAAGGCAAAAGTCACTATTACTTTGATAATGTCACCTTAAGGTTTTTCATCCAGCAATTAAAACAGAGTCACAATTGTTGAAAGTATCAATTTACTTTTAATTCTGGCCTCTTAGAGATGATAAACAATATCAATAGAGACAAAACCAGATAAGAATAACTTGGTTTTTAATTTGTTAGATAGTAACAACGGTTACACTGACCTTTCACAAGATGCTTACCTGCCCTTCACACTTACAAGTAATAATAGTTCGTATACAGAATTCACTTCAATTATCTTAAGATGTAAACTTGGTTAAATAAGACTTTATTAAAATAGAAAGAAAATGAAAATATCAATGATTAGAATGAAATTCTAATAAGAACACAGAATAAAATTCATAAGTGAGAAAACGAATCTAGATTGAAAGTGTTAACTAGACTGAAGATACATTTGTTGATTAGATTTGTATTTATACTTAATCCATTCAATTGAATATTTTTTATCCGTTGGTAAATCTTGTTAATTGATAACAGACAATTAAGTCAGAGATCAAAGATGAGTTAACTTAAGTTTTTAACATAATCATTGTTGACTAATTGTTGTTAAAACAAAATCTTACTGTGGGAAAAATGGTAATGTAATCAGAGTTAACAAAAGTTAAAGAAGATAAGAAGAAAGAGAAAATATTTGTAGAAAGAGAAAAGTAAGTAAAGAAAGAGAAAAGCAAATTGACGCCAATGATTAAAACCAGAAGGTTATTTTCATAAGAATTGACAAGACTATTGTCTCTCCATCATTAACTGTTAATTTGTTTTTCTAAAGAAAATGATTAGTTAAGTTTAATTGTTAATTAAAGTTGTAATGTTTGTTAATTGTAATTAGTTAATTGTTGATTAAATGAAAATGATTAATTAACTAAAGTTAAATTTAAATGAATAAAATTAATAAGTGAAGTGAAGGGTTAAATCTCTACCCTACAGATTCAGTGGATTTTGATTAAGACACCTTTCAGTTCATCTTATTTATTTAGTGTTGAAATTTGAAGATTCCGTGTGAATGTATCGCCGAGAATTCATTTGATGAATCGGTTCATCTTCTTCTGGTAATACATGAATTTCAAAATTTCTGGTGGTGGTGTTAATGGAGATGATGGTGTTGGTGAAGTATCACTATTAAAACTTGGACAATTCCTTGAGGTTGAAGTGTAATAATGCCAATTTTCAGGCCATTCGTCAGTTCCAGCGTTTACACGAGTAGAATAAATATCAAGTAACTGAGCAATTCGTTTATTACCACAGGTACGTTCGATATTTTTACTATGTATTCCATCTTTCAGTTCCGAACATTTATTTTCAATCTCA